AGAAAAGTGTCTTGGTTTATATTGGTCTACCGATTTATATAGCTTTTGTCTCCCAACTCAGGCACTACCTCATACTGCATATTATCTGTCATTTGTGATGGAAAACAACAACAGATTCATGTTACAATCTGCAAAATTCAAACATGGAATAATAACTGTAAGGTTAGATGGCTGTGTGAAACTTAAAAAACTGTCTTTTCTAGTACCGACAACTGCAACTTGTAGTCCTCTACAATAATACCCTCTTCAATTTGTCCTAGATTAGTGAGTCAACCGTAAAGATTCACCACTGAATAAAACCCAATGTAGTTTAGCTCATTAGCTCTTAATTAATGTTTAGTAGTAGTAGTTTTGAAAGAAAATGCACATCACCAACTGTAACTCAATGCAACTCCGACCTTAGGAACTCTATCATAACAACCGAAAATCAAACGCCCTAACTATAATAATTCAGAATTAAGGGACCACTTTCTCCAATTTCGTACTCCTGTCCTTGACCCGGACCTCATTCTTCAATTAATTAACCTCTTTTCTCTCTTTTCTTTGGATATTTTGATAAAATAAGGTGCTCTGTGTATTATTTCATATCATATACTCCTTATATTTTACTTACGTGTTGGAAAAAGGCTTAACAATGAAAATAATTGGGATTGCCGAGATACGTGTTGCGAAGACCTATGTTTACAAAATATACTACGATGTGAACATGTATGTAAAGTGTGGTATGTATTTATACTATTTGAAATTATTTATAATTCATTAGCTACTATTTTAATCAAATCTAAATATATCAGGATTATAATAGCTCAATATGTGATGAGTAGTATATCTTATATAGGTATTTTAAAAATGTGAAAATCAAAGAAAACCACAGTGGTTGATAGGGTAAACTATAGTGTTTTGTGCATCAAAATATTTATTTATCTATTTGTTTTCGTTTCTATTTATCTATCTTTATATATATATTTTCATATGTTTACTTCTCTATCTGTATACTTTTATTAGTGTACCAACATATATACATGTCATTATATCGTCAATTATTACATTTTACTTTCGTTTTCTGTAAGATTCATCATTACAATCGTTCTCATTACACATGGCCTGGAAGAGAATCAGAGCTATACTACTGCCGCTGGACGATAGATTACTTCACGAAAGGGACTGCAAGCGTGTGTCAGGAACCGGGGTCACTTCCGAAAGCACCAATCAATTGAAACGGCATACCACGGGTTAGGCTTCTCCGTATAGAATTTTTCAGCGGCTTGACGATCTGTATACTTGGCGTCCAATCCCCCAGAGGAGGGTAAGACCGTCTTCCGAGCAAATAATCTTACAAGCTTCAATGGAAAAAAATAAAAACGTGGAGAACGCAGCATTGTCAGGGTCTCATGTTTAAGAAATACTGCATCATGGGATAAGGAGCTTTCCTGCCAGATTTGAACTATTTGTATGCCCCGTGATATTTTGCCCAAGATAGTCTTTGTCCTAAACACGGCCTATGCTATCAAATTAACATCTTAATTTAAAAATCATTAGAACGCGCCAAGTAACCACTGCTGTAATTAAAGTCTCCTTGTATAGACCTAGACTGCACTATATTTTGGTAAGGATTAGGATACTGCATCATTCACTAAGTCTGCAGCCTACTTTTTTATTATCATTAAGGACCGTTCCAAGGCACAAGCAAGCAATGTGGCTGCTTTGTCCCCTTCCCCTGGCTACCAAAGGCCCCCAAAAGCTCTTGATCTTTAAAACCATATCTGCGTCAAAGGCAACCATGTAGAAATTAATACTACGTTAAGTGGCTATGAGAAAGATGCCTGCCCACGCGAATGCTTAATCATTGATAGATATTGGCGACGCTGAGGCATTCGAGGCCGAAGTCAAATTCTGGCCCGTAAAGACTTGGAACGAAGTCAATGTACAGTATATGTAAGATATAAAAATGTATACATTTACACACGTATGTATATATACAATATGAATATCTATTTATTCAA